CCCAAAACCCTAAACCCTAAACCCTCAAGGGACAACAGTCTCTCTCGGACCCCTCTTCAGGTTCCATGTTGGTTGGGGGGAGAGCCTAGGACTTGAGAGGCTTTCGAAGCTTGATGCCAAGAAGTTAAACGGTCCACTGTCTAAACTCCTAGTATCCCCCTTTATCGCCCCTGTAGTAGTCCCCTGTATAATCCCCTAAAAAACCATGTAAGGAGTTTAGAGTATGGCTCAAATGGTCTCTTGGTTCAGGGTTTAGGGTTTAGGGTTGGCCAGAGGGGATGATGTGATGAGGTTGTCCTTCAGCCCCTATAGCTTAAACCCTCAGAAAGTGGCCCCTAATGTGGGAAACTCTTAGATCTTAAGGGCTGTCTTATGCAGCGGGGCGCCAGAAGAATCATAATCTTGATTTCATGACTTCGAGAAAGCTAACGTCCTTAAAGCGGGGTATATAGGGTTTAGGGTTTAGGGTCTGAACTCCTTAACGGGGTATATATAGAGGATAAATAAGATAGGGGAGTATCACCAGGATTATTGAGGGGAATACTAGGAGTTTAAGACTATAGCTGATTTGATGACCTCCAGAATGATCCTGGAAGCAAGACAAAGGCCGAAGCTTTGGCATGCCGAATGACAATTTCCCTAAACCTAAACACTAAACCCTAAACCCTAAATTCAGGCAGGCTAAGTTTTGCAAAGTTTTTAGGAGGCGTATTTGGTCATTTAAGGTCCAAGTATACCAGAGGCGGCCTGTAGGAGATTTGTTTAACGGATTTAGGTTTAGGGTTTTAACTGCTACCCTGAGGGGGTGGCGGGGGGCGAAAGTAATTTGCCGGGCACCTTTGTCAGGAAAGCCTTCATTGGCAAGCTCGCCGCGAAGAACACCAAGACGCTAAAAGCCATGGGTGGGGAAGGAGGCCCAGGAAGATCCAATCAGATTTGGTGATGAGGGAACCCCAAGGGTCTAGGGTTTAAGGTTTGGGGTTTAGGGATGAATATCGCTTGGTCCTTTCTTTGCGAGGCGCCCGGCATAGTGCCTTGCACCTGATAGTAGTAGTAACAATAATAGTAATAACAAAAGTTAATAGTAGCAGTAGTAATAACAAAAAGCAGTAGTAGTGTTGAAGCTGAGTGTTGTCTGACCTGTACGGGCCAAAGTCCAGAGACGGTCCCGCAACAAGGGGCCCTGTGAATTTGAGAGTTCGTCGTTTGTGAAAAACATGGCCTCTGTTGCCACTCCGGAGGTGCTCCATCCATAGCGGAGAAGATGCGAAAGGCACTCCTGGGCGTTTTTTCTACCAGGGTAGTACAGTTTGGAGAAGCGTGAAGAGCCAATAATGCCATTGCTCTTCTATGTGCTGATATTTCAGCTTTAGTGCGCTGCCTGTAGGATCCAGGGCTTTGTGCTAATGCTGATCTAATTTTGGCGTGCTCCCAAACTCTGCTAGACAGCCTGCCAGATTTCCAGTCTTGGGGTATGGCAGAGGTCTTTGTAGCGAGCGTTTTGGGCTTTCATGTTGTTGGGCAATTTCAGCATAAACGCCTTCCAACTGAAGCTACTGCCATGTGAGAATTTTCATAAATAGAGAGACCTCAATAATATAGATCCCAACATACTACAATGCTTGATAGGAACCCTCGAAACAAGGTTCCCGTTTTCGGAAATGCAGAGCTCTGTACTACTAATAATTTCCAGTTTTCACTTCACTTTTCATGTTCTTTTCCATTCGATTCTTGATTATTTGGGGTAATATCTGTAAAGCCTAAATAGTAGTTTCCATGCCTTATCCAGGGTATGTAAGCCGCATATAGATTCCTATTTGGGGCATTCTCAAAATTGTGGTTTATATTCCGGCACCTAATATCTAGGGGTATTAAAATGGGATTTTAATTTCGGGAACTACCCATATGATATAATCCCTATATCATCTTTATCATTCTTATACAATCTCTATAAAACACCCTTTTTTTGCAGGAGCTGGGCTGCGACTGCGCTTCCTGACAGGTTAGGGTTTGGGGTTCAGTTTAGGGTTTAGGGTGTAGGATTCACCTGAACCCTAAAACCCTAAGCCCGTTTGGAGTTTTGGGTTCAGAGCATGTGGTGATCTGCTGCAGCATGTTCAGCTCTGCTACAGGCCCACCAGAAGGAAGGGCAGAATCAATCCTGGAGGCCTTGGGCTGCAAGCAGGGTTTAGGGTTAAGGGAGTACTCCACACCCTGCACCCGAAGGCTTAGGGTTCGGGGTTTATAAAGGGTTTAGTGTGTATAGTCCCTCTGAAGTAAGGAGATAGACTATGGTTTTGGGTATATACTTTTAATAAGATCCCCATGTACCCCATATTGTATCTACTTAAGGGGGATTGTAGGGCTTAGCGTTGCTACCGGCACTGCCGAGCCAATGCATGTCAAAGCCCCGCTGAGCTGCCAAATGGAGGATGGCATTCTTAATTTCCGCAGCCCGCGTTGTGTTCATCTGTTTTTTTTTTTTTTTTTTCTGGATCTCCATGGCGTGAATCATAATCATTGAAGTCCCTAAACCCTAAAACCCTCAATGGTAGTTTCCATTCTCTTTTCCATTATCCCTATATAACCCCTGAGCTAAGCGGGCACTTTCGAAAGGGTCACGACCAAGTACTACAATCTGCCAAGCCTCCTGGCGCTCAGTAGGGCGCAGGGGCATGGGTGGTAGGGACTGTTCTAGGGTTTAAGGATTCGGGTTAGACTTCAGGTTTTTAAGGTTTAGGTTTGGACCGTTCTAGGAAACTGCCAGGACTACCAAGGCCCTGATTTTTGGAAATCCCCTACCCAGGTATCCCCAGAATGTATGCCCGTAGTTCCTTCTACGCCCCGATAAACTTACAACTCCTCCACGGGGACTCTTAATTGCCTGAACTCTGCATCCTAAATCCTAGATCCTAAACTTACTTGTGGTTAGCAATAGAATCCCTGGCCTCAGTCTAAACCCTAAACGCTAAACCTTGGGTACTGCCCCCCCCTCAGTAACAGTTGGATAATAATGATAATAGGGTCACATATAGCCATTAATAGGACCCCTAATATAGACTGTTACTGGTTGGGGGCAGTACCCAACCTAAACCGCATGGACGATGAGGCGGGTGGAGTCCCTGCTGTCCTCCGGGGACAGGCAGAAGCGGCAAGCTGGGCTTAAGGAGGCCTTTTGTCGAAAGTTTGGGGTTTCGGGTTTCAGGGGTTTAGGGGTTGGGGTTCTACGCCCTAAACCCTGAACACTTTGGTTTACGGAGTAAGTCTAGGTGTTTAAGCCTTAGGCGTCGCTGTTTGGGATTTGAGGGTTGTAGGGGTTTATGGTTGGGATTTGGGGTTTAGTTCAGGAGGTTGGCTCCAGGACTGTAGTAGTTTACAGTGTAGTGAAATAACCTTACCAGTAGTGACAAAAGTTCAGAATCGGCCAAGGAATGTGTCAGCCTGTTGCGGACCACCGTAGCTTGTTGTTGAATCAGCTGACCTTCTTTTCCGAGACGGGGCGCCCATCCCGTGTGATGCAGAGGGTTTACTTTGGCGCATACACATGTGCCTGTCTCCTGTCGTATGTTGGCGTCATTGGTCTTATGTAAGGCTCATGTCATGACGTGTAATTGAGAGGCGCCTCTTCCACTGTGCCCTTGAAAGGTGACAAACGCTGCAAAAACCAAGCAGTTCGGTTTTATTGCTGCATTATTGTAACGCGGCCATCCATGAAACACCTTCAGTCACGTGTAAGTATGCGACTGCAGAGTCTTGAGGCTTGCTGGTTGTTAGCAGGGAAAGAACGGAAGAAAAAAAGATGGAAGCTACTATAGCTTGGGGTTATACAGCGGCTACTACAGGAATGCATTCCTTCGTCCCAATAAGTTAACCGCAGACCCCTACATATCCCTACGCCCGCCCGGGTTTCCGTTTCATTTTCCATCTGCTTTTCCACTGGAGCTTTCATTCCATGATTCCCTGCCAGCCACCATATCTCTCCATGTAATCCCGATTTGATTTTCCATGTTCTTCTCCATTTGATTCTCCAGTATTGGGGATAATATTAAGACAGCCAGTAAACAGGTGGCTACTGCGGCTGGCATCACTCCTGCAGCGTCAGCTCATGCTGGACCGGCGTCAGTTACACAGCGCAAGGCGGGGTGCTGTTTGCGGCTTCAGCTTTAAGGTCTCCAGTGCATTTTAAGGGCATCTGTAGACTTCCCGAATACCTATGATATTTCTTAGGTAGACCCCCCACCCTGTAATAGTGGTATAATAGGAATATAAGAAGACCTTAATATCATTACCATTATCCCTTATAGTCACTATTACTGGGTGGGGGGTCCACCCAACAAATCCCATGATAGTAGCCTGTAGATACCATTCTGTCAGGGTCAAGTACTGTTATCATTATCATGGTATTTGGGAGGTCTGCATAGGGTTCAAGTAATGTAGGGGCCTAAAGAAGCACCGACTTCACACTTCAAGGAAATCCCTATAAACCGAGCTTTCATTTCCTTGTCTTTTTTCTTTTCGATTAGTTACTTTCGGTAAGCCCTACATAATCCCATAGCATCCCTACAGATTTATCTAGGCCCCCACATCCTAAACCCTAAACATTTATGCAGTACATGAGATGGTGCAGCTCACAGGCTTTGCAGCATACAGACTTTGGCACTTTTGGTGAGAGAACCCCCCAAAAAAGAGCCTATGAAGACTACAGTAGCTTCTTTGAACTGGGGCCATGTTGGTCCCTAAACCCTAAACCCTTAACCTAAACACCAGTTTGGGGGGGGTGGTAGGTCGGCCCGGATGATGGCTCTTCCGAGCTTTGAGCTCCCGAAGTGCTTAAGCAAGGTGTATGCTGCATGGTGCACAAATCATGCTTGCTCACCGCCGTAACGTTGCAAACGCAGACTTTGAAGCCTGTTTGAATGCACTTTTCTGGCTTCAAGTGTTTGTTGCTTTAGCATTTGCGCGCAGACAAGAGGTTGGCAAGCGTCCGCCCTGTTCCCAGCATGGCCCTTGAGCTCTCTTACAAGAACACGTTCATTGACGTGGTCGAGGACTACCAAGACATGGGCACTTCCAGGACACGTGCCCAAAGCTCCCCGCCGTGCTCTGTGCGGCGCCCAAGCTTCAGCTTGGAGGCCGCAGGCGAAGAGGACGCTATGCGCAGCTATGTGGGCACGCTCTCTCAGAAGACCGCGAACCTGGCCGAAAACCTCAAGCAAGATGAGACGCCCAGAACCGCGTGCAACTCCAGCCAATTGAGTCCCAGTCCCATGAGCTCCGAGGGAGATCAGGATAGTCCTTTCGGTCAGATCCCTGACCAGTCGCCTCTGGCGGAGTTCTTCCCGCTGCTGCCCAGCCAGGGCAGCTTGGGGCACCCCGAACTGTGCCGGCGGCCATGCATCTACTTCATCGCCGGGCATTGCGAGAATGGCAACGCGTGTGCTTACTGCCACATGGAGCACATTGAGAAGACGCCAAAGCTCGACAAGAGGCAGCGCACCATCATGCAAGGCCTAAGCCGGCCTCAGTTGCTTGGACTGGTCATGCACTTCTGCCGTGGCAAGGCTGAGCAGGCGGGCTTCCTCAACGAGGCCGACGAGATCCTAGGCTTGTTGGCGCAGGAGTCTACAGGTGCACGGCCATTGTCCCAGTATGTCTCTGAGCGTGACCTTCGCAACCTCCACAAGACGCTGGCCCGGATGAACTTCTCTAACTTGATCGGCCTGGTGTCGCACCAGTCGGCTAACCGGGCAGGGGACGGGACACCAGGTTCCGACCACTTCTCAGCGTCCTTGGACCGACTCAGGGCATGCTTCCTGCCAGAGGCGTGCGCTTGAGTATCGAGCTGAGCGACAGCACAGTAGCTGAATAATCCCAAAATCTGATTTCCATCCCACTCCAGCTGGTTCGCGAAGCTGGGCCTTTCCCGGAGGGTTACACATAGGGCCCTGCAGCGCCTAGCAGACCCAGACCCCCTGAAGGATCCACGAAATCGAACAAACGAGGATGCACATGGCATAGTATGTGGTATAGGGTTGAGGAAATCCAAAGAATGGAGCCTCCAATAATTCCCTAGGCTCCCCCAATGTAGTACTGGTAGTACTGGGATTGGGGGCGAGCTGGAGTTTTTGGATCCTGTAGGGCATCTGGGGGCGGGCACATGCAGAACCATTGAAGTCGTTGGCCGTAGCTGTAGCTATTGTCCAGTTTACAGAAGCAAGGTGTGGATGACCGAGGTGTGTGCGTGTGCGTGCCACAGTGAGTCTGAAGTACGTCTTTCGGACCAGTTTGTGATCTCTTTTCCTATTTATGCTGCTTTTTGAGAAGTTTGCCTTAATATCTGCTAGTGGTGCTCCTACATCTGCGACTTTGACGTAGTGGTAGGCATCAGTCATGCGTCTGGCAGCATGTGCAAGGATCTCCACGGGGGCAGTGGTCTATAGTTCTCTGGACCGCAGAAGCGGGCAACTTTATAAGTTGTGGTCAGCAGCAGCAGCAAAGTGTTGCTGTCAGTCAGCTAAAACTTTGTTGTCCCAGTTCTGCCAAATCCTGGCCACATGGCACGCCACTGTCATAGACAAAGGCTACAAACGTTCGATTTTTTCACACTGCGGGGAGGGGGGGAGGGTGATAGGTTTTATTGGTCATTTGAGCTTTGAATAGCTTTGATGCAGCATCCCTTCATCTGATTAAGCATATCTGCCTGATCTAGAATCATAGACAGCACAGGTAGCTTTGAGTACAGCTCCTGAGTCATGGGCTCGGTCCGTGTGTTGCCAGGACTTGGGACTAAGAAAGGTGCCTTTAAGTGCCTGCCGCGATATTACACCATTGCCGCCGCCCTTGCCGCATGAACATCTTGCGCAGGGGGCAAAAATGGATTGCTACAGGGGCTCACGCCCCTAACTGGCTTGCAGCTAAGGTAATGCCAGTAGAATGGTTTCCTTCACCTCTGGTCTGTTGCACAGGTGTCCGTGACGGGCAAAAATCTCAAATCAAGGCCCATACGCTTCCTGCCGTTGCCTTTGCCCCTGCAGCAAATGGTGGTGGGGCTGGGGCAACAAGCAGGATCGCAGACAGATTCTTGCATTGATGGAAGGGAAATGTGTGCTTGATGCTAATCTTCGGGTGGGTGGGCGGGTGGGTGGTTGTCAAAATTATGGTCCCTTTTTGGGTGCTCTAAATACTAGGTGCCGTATTATAATAGAGGCCCCAAAAGGGACCATAATTTTGACAACCACCCGCATGTGAGCACGGTATTGTACACATCAAACGGGATGAATGACATGGTGTAGCGTACGATAGGGGCCGGAATACTTACCAAGTCTCTGGCTAAACATTGGTTGTATCTCTTAAAAGGTATAGTTCCCCTTTGGTAGATAGAATATGGCGTTGGGTCCATTATAATAAGATCCCCATATACCCCATATTCTATCTAAGTAAGGGGGACTATACCGTAAACCCTGAACCCTGAACCCTAAGTGGTAGTTTCCATTTCTCCTTTCCATTATCCCAGAATATTCTACCTACTTCAGGGGGACTATACCTTAAATATACTTCAACATGACATTGGCAAGTGTTTGGTTCCAATTCAGTAGGCCAAACCCTTTCTGTGGCTTTCCCAAATTAGTGGTACCTTTTTGGGGGGTCCCCATATTAAATTAAGGATCATAGTATTTTGGGGTCTATATTGGGCCCCCCCTATTTTGGGAAAGTACCTTCTGGGACCCAAATCACTGGCAATTAGCTTAAGCTGATTGCACAGTCAGATGCAGGCATGTGGGACCTTCATCCTACGTGAAACAGCACACGCTGTTTTTCGTCAAGTAGGCGTAGCAGTTCCCATAAATAGGGGGCAATTTCAACATGGACCCCCCAATCCTATGGTCCTTCTTATGGGCACCCCCGACAGGGGCACCGCTAATTTTGGGAAACCCTAAAGCCTAAACGTAAATTTTGGGAAGCCCTAATGTCGGTGTGTGATTGACGCCTATGTCTGGCACTGCCTCAACATGGACAACACCTGCTGTATCAACAAACAGCACATGAGCTATAGTCTACACTCCTTAAAAAGGAGGTTACATAGGGTTTAGGGTTTGGAGTCTAAACTCCTTAAAGGGGGTTGCATGGGGGATTATATAGGGGAGTAGCACAGGGCTTATTAAGAGGGATACTAGGATTTTAGACTATGGATCACATGGATGAACATAGGAACAATTATGGGCGATTGTATGGGGATTAGGCTCTATAGTAATCCTGGTTCTGGTGTCTCCTTTAGTAGTACCTATATTGGGGACCCGATATGGACCCCAAAATGCTACAACCCTTTGAGAGGGACTCCTAAGGCACCCTTACTGCTAGGAAGCCCTCAGCCTGAAACCCTTAACAAACCCTAGCTCCTAGACCCTCAGCCTATCAACCCTTTATAGCCCTTATATAACCGCCTTTACAGACCCCTAAACCCTAAGCCCGAAGTCCTAAACCCTAAACCCCTAAATGCCTATAGTCCCCCTTAAGTATATTGAATATGCGTTTGGGTATATTACAGTAAGATGCCCAATATTCTATCTACTTTTTAGGGGGACTATAGGTTTTCAGGAATCCCTGCTGCTGTACGTCAGGCTCAGGCAAAGAGCCTGCTGCGGTCGATAGCAACCTCGGATCCCTGCTGGCAAGCCCCTTGGCCGCAAGAGGTAGGGTATAGAGTTTAGGGTAGAGCCTTTGGGGTTTAGGGTGTTAGGGGTTTAGGGTGTTAGGGGTTTAGGGTTTAGGGTTTAGGTTGGGTACTGCCCCCCCCCAATAACAGTCTATATTAGGGGTCCTATTAAGGGCTATATATAACCGTATCATAAGTATTATCCAACTGTTACTGAGGGGGGGGCAGTACCCAAGGTTTAGGGTATAGGCTTTAGGGTCGAGCGTTTAGGGTTTAGGGTATGGGGTTCAGGATTTAGGGTAAAACTATAGAGATATGTATATACATATATATATATGTGTGTGTGTATATTGCAAAAGAAAATGGAAACAACTACTAGTTTAAGGTTCAGGGTACTATTTGTATATATATATATACACACATATATATATATATGTATGGGTACTATGGAAAAGAAAATGAAGATTACTAGGTTCGGGTTTAGTGTTATCTAGCTATATATATCTATATACATATGTACATGTGGGTATACTGCCAAAGAAATCGGAAACTATTAGTTTGGGGTATAGGGTCTAGGGGTTTATAGGATTTATCGGGTCACAGGGTTTAGGGGTTTGTAGGGTTCATTGGGCTTATAGGCTTTAAGGGTTATAGGGTTTATTGGGCTTATAGGCTTTGGGAATTAGAGTTTAGGGGCTTTGATTGATATCCGAAACCCTATGTTATCAGCTGCTATCGGATTACTCTTCAAGGGGTTGTGGTTGCCAGAATCCCCGTTGACTTAAGCCCCCGAAATGTCCCGATAGAACCTTAGTTTGCATTTCATTCTACATTATTTTTCATTAGATTTTCCATTGCCGCAGAAATTTCCCTAAACACTGACTTCCAGATGCCATTTGATTTCCTAAAGCCCTGTGTCTTCCTTTTGTCATGTCTTCATGTTCCATTCCCTACAAAGACCCGTAGGCTAAACCCTAAACCCTACCCTAAGCTCTAAACCCTAAACCCTAAAACACTAAAACCCGCAACCCTAAAACCCTGAAACCCTTAAACCCTAAACCCTAAAACCCTAAACCCTAAACCCTAAAACCCTAAACCCTACACCCGAAACCCTACATAGTAGCTTCCATTTCCTTTTGCCTTCCTCTGGCAACGGCCCTGAGCCTTGACCCCTACGTAGTAGCTCCCATTTTTCCTGCTTTTACAGTTTAGGGTTTAGGGTATAGGGTACAGGGTATAGGGTTTAGGGTTTAGGGTATACTTACAACTCTACACCCTAAAGCGTGCATAATAGCTTCCATTTTCTTTTCCTTTTTTACATTCCCTTCTGAGAACACTAAACCTGTCATGGTGGCTGCCATTTTCCTTTCTTCTTTTCCATTTTATACTAACACTCCTAAAAACTACATAGCAGTTTCCCTCACTGGCGCATTCCCGTAGCAGCGGCAGTCGCTCTGTAAACCCTAAATCCTAAACCCCTAAACCCTAAACCCCTAAAGCCTAAACCCTGAACCCGAAACCCATAAGGCCTATACCCTGATTCCTAAACCCCTACGGCCTAAACTAGTAGTTTCCATTTTTCCGTTATACCCATATACATACATATATATATATATATGGTAGTTTCCCAAAATAAGGGGACCCTAATATAGACCCCCAAATACTATAGTCCCTATTATAGGGACCCCTAAAAGGGTACCACTAATTTTGGGAAACCCCCATATACATACAATCCTCCCTAAACCCTAAACCCTAAACCCCTAATCCAAGAGCTGGAAGCCTGCAGGTCCGGGAGGCAGCCCTGAATCTTTTTGTTGACGTGGCTGCCGAGGCAGGGTGGCAGAAACTTAAGGAAGCTGCCAGCGCTTTACTGGGTTGCTGTTAAGGAACTTAAATTAAGTTACCATAATGGGTATATATAGTAAATAATAGGGTTTCTACTGAAATGTACTTGTC